TAAAATATGTTTTCTATTGTCATCGTCAATCGATTATAAGTCCGATTGCTATATTTAAACAAACTATATTTGCTTTGCTCCCTACGTAAACTCTCAGCCAGCGATTGACTTCGTAATAAAGATCCACACATGTGGTAACTGCTCCTATCAAAACTGGAACTGTTCACCTATACAAAGGACAGCGATACTAATTATCTGGGAATTATAATTGACCAAAGGTTGTCGTGGCTATCGCAATGGAGTTGATTTTTAAAACTTCAATGCTCGTATTCGAGAACTTTACTCAATGCTCAAGTCAGGACTTGAGTATGATTTCAAGCACCGGAAATACGACCATAATGGCAGGGACTGGGGGAAGAAATGATATCTTAGCATATTCACGCACTGTCCGAACAACTATTGCCAGTCAACAGTAAAACTCGCAAGCATCTTATGTTTACAACCCCACCAATAAAACGCTACGTGTTGATCCCATGAAACAATATGGTTGTAAGAAGGCGTTAAAGCAATGCTTAAAAGCCTTTGGTATGAAGAAGTGAAAAACATCTTGGAACGCATATCATAATTAGCAACACTACAAATCACTCACACGCGCGCACAAACACACACACGTAAGCACACACACATACAAACTACTGAACATTTGTTGTTGTGTTCTATTTTAAATACCACTCTATCTTAAATAACTAACCCACTGATCTCTTATAAAATCTCAGTTTTAAGCTTAGGCAAGTTGCAAGGCTTTTAGCCAACACAAGCATACATTTGCTTAGTGGGAGAACCTAATCTTTCCTATCCCTCTAACTCTCCTATGGATCAAAAGATTATTATATTATACGTAATCATTAATAAACTGTAGAGTTATTATTTATTATATTAAATCACAGAAATCGTGAACTGTTGCACAGCATAAATAATATTCATACCTACTACTAGACATAAATGAAACGAAGGACACAACAGTTTTTTTCAATTCGTGAATCCAGAGGATCCTCGTGATAAAAGTTATTAATATTCATGAGTCGGTCGGTTATCAGTAATTCCTTACATTTTACAATTACTGGAATATCCATAGAACAACATCTAGTCATTGCAGATCAAACATGCTCAAAATTACAAGTAAATTTTTCGCAAATTACGTACTACTCTAATGTGAATTGGGGACTTTTGTTTTTGAAAGTTTTGCAATCACTCTTTATAAGATACGAGTTTGAGAAAGTAAGGCATCGAAATGTTAAATACTATATAGTGTTGCCTCTGCCATACTGTGGGACCATGTCCATGAATAAAGGTCACAAACCATACACGACCCGCCTGCAAAAGGAACTCGCTCTTCCATGTAACATTAAAAATATCGCTCCTTATGTTAACGATAGACTCGACTGCGACAGTCTATACCAAAGAAACATGTTAACAACACGAAAGCCAAATGATTTCGCAAGGATGTTGTCACAATAAACCTGTCATCACGAGATGTGATTACTGGTGTTTCGCAGTTACCACATCCTATTTTGAAAGAACTTGTCTGTGTAAACCTTCTGTATACTCCTGAAATCGTACACTGATTTTTTAACAAAGCCCTCTACACCAATTCCACAATTTGTGCTGCCTTCTTTGTCCACACATATCCATATTACAATGAGAACAGTTGCTAAAACTGGATAGTTATTCAATTGGCAATGATTATTCAATTGGTAGTGAATATAATACCATAACCTGCTAGTGAGGGATTAAATTTAGCGTGAATTTTCTTTAATAAGGCATTATTCTCGTGACCATTCCATTTTTATATTTGAGTTTCATTAAGATTCTTTACTTTTCAATTCAAATAAATGTAAAAATTTGCATTGTTCAATAAATATTTTTAGTAGGTAATTGAGGCCGTCAATGTACATTGGGAAATGATTACATTTTCCTCAAAGAGCTTTTGCAAGCTCAAGGAGCATGATATTTGGATTGATATAAGGTATTAAAATAGCGAATAGAAAGATAAGTTTGATGCAAGAAATTTTGTGTTACAAGGAAGAAGATGATAAATTTGAATAGAGTAGGTACATATGGACTATATTTGATACAGATTGCTTTTTCATAACTAGCAATAGTGATTTACGTATTGTTCAAAATTTAACTTTTTTTTTGTTTTGCATTTGACGGTACGAACTATTGATGCGCCTGGTGGTAAGCAACACCCCTACCCAGAACAGTTGCAGTACCGCTCAGAGATTTAAATCGCAAAAATCTGAAGGACAATGCCAGTACATTACCCACCATAGATATAGAAATTTTTTCTATGTCTATGTTGCTCACCCGTCACTTATGCAATTCCGTGTGCCTGTAATTTCACCGCACCCTTGCCCTGCAAAATCGAAATGCGTAATACTAACATTACTGAATCGAGTTCTTAGGTTTTCGCGATTGACTCAACCAACAGTCAACCGTGACCATTCGACTTGTAAAGGGCCCGAAACGTCGATGTGTTTGAAAAAACAAATGTACGCGATTTAATTCCGGAAAAATAGTTTCATTAACTCACATTACTGGTTAACGGCAGAAATAAGTATGTGGGCAGTACTTTCCTGAACGAACTCTTCTACACGGAGCTCTACTGTTATTAACACTCTATAGTAGGCGTATAAAATATTCGTGCTCTGTAAACCACATCACAATTTTTTTTATTTCGTAGGTAAGCGAATCACATTTCAAATCGTCACGTTGATTAAACACTAGTCACGCTCGTTCTTGAAGCAGATTCCCCTGAGAAAAATGACTACGAAACTCGCGTTTTGTAAATAGATATTTGTACACATTTAACATTTACAATATTTATTTCAAATATCATAAAGAGTTAAAAGGGTCATTGAAATGTCAATAAATTATGCAAAGTTTACTGTAGTATTAAATCATAAGCAAATTTTGAATATCAACCGTTTCTCATTATGGAAGCGTTGCTTAATTGACAATGTCAAGAACAGCCAGTTAATTTATATTATTCGTGTCAATGTTCTGTTTTTCACTAAATATTTTTCATAAATAAATTACTTCCCTTTTAACATACTTCAATTACATTTTCATAAATGTACCGTAAGGCAAATTTATGAAATATGAATTTATTTAAACTTATCTGAGCCACAGGGGCCCTGATTGCAAATTGTCCCAACAGCGCGTTTTGCAGGACAAATATATTGATAACTATTGATTGGCGGCATTATACTGAGAAAATACCTAAAGTAAATCAATGCAGCAGTTTCGTGTCTTTATTAGTAATGGTTAACCATCCCATTAATTCTGTTATTTATATCCTGTCCCTATCTACCGACCCGAGAGATAGGGTTTTCCGGAGAGACTACTGGCTCGACGGCAAGACCAGGGTACGGCGGGCGTCCGGGCCAAGCCCTCCGCCAGTGATATGCCTCTCTGGCGGACCCGAACTTGGGTAAGAACTCGATGGAGTTTGTGGTTAGCTGCAGAGACGGACATGCTTGTCTGCCCCGGTTTTACTTGTGCCGTGGCGTCTGCCTCGTGAGCAGCTAGCGCGTCTTAGTAGCGGTCTAGTTGAGAGCATGTATGCGAGGAGACGTGCGGGGCACGAGTTGCTCTTTAAGTTGGAAGCTATGTCCGGATATTGTCGCAGGACACTGCGACTGGCATCTCCGGCACTAGCCCGGAGAGCTAGTAGAGGACAAGCTAGATATCCTCCGGTCCCTCCAGCCGCTTAGGTTATTGGGAACTGGAGAGACGTCGTTTATCGGCGTCGGTAGGTGAGCGTGTCTTACAGCTCCGCCACCAATGAGGATATTTCGTTGTCGAATCACAGTCGACGGTTTAGCGGTGGCAACTGCTAGTTGTGCAATGTGCAACGGAAAGTGAGCGTGCCTACAGCTCCGGTACCTATCTGGAAAATGGGGAGGGTACTGTACGTGAACCCGGGGCGGCTCACCCGAGGCACTAGCCTGTCGAAGAACCGGATGAAGTCAAGTAACAGAGGTCGGTGACAACCCTGTGCACTGGCTGATCTGGGGTCAGAACCTGAACTTGTAACGTTCCTGTGCGCGCACAGGTTATAGTGTCCTTCTCGTATAAGGGTAGGTAGGGCCCTCCCTAACAATAAGTATAGTCCCTGAAAATAAGTACTTTGGACCGTAATAAGCAATCCAGCTGTTTAGTTAGTCGGTTAAAGATAGGACAACCCAATGATGCCGTTTCGTGAAAACGAGGGATGGCAGTAGCAGTGGCAGGAGTGTGGCGTCTTTTTGTGTAACCTGTAGTAGTTTCCTTCGATCACTAAAGCTTGAGCCAAACGTAACGATTATGGTAATTCTTTGATACATTTTAAGAGATGTACATGTGTGCGCAACTGTAAGTTAATTTGATATATGCAAAATAATATAAGCGAACATGAATGTAAAGTAATAGTATAATTGTTGATTAATTAAATTTTGTTGTTCCGTGCCGGCTAATAAGGATAATTTCAATAATGAACTTTGAAACACAATTATGCGTATTTGATAACTATGATGTGGCGAGCGATATTCGGTAAAAATATTTACCAGTAACGTTTCGTTTATGTGTCGACAGTAATTTATTAATTTAACAAATTGTCCTCCACCAAATCAATAAGTGACAATCATTACTTCATTAAGTAGAAAATTGTTGTTTTATTTGTACGTCAACTCACGTACATAAAATATGTTTTTTTCAAACAAATGCATGAAAATTCTAAGTGTAGTTTATTGTATTGCATCAAACTGCATATGTTCCACAGCCGGATACGGGTCTCATCTAAGACGATGAGATGAGCGAAATTTGTTTCATTTGTGTGTTATGATAAGAACGTTAAATCTCTCTAAAATGACACCAATCTGTTTTTTCTCCTTGTGTTTGAATTCAACAGATTTCTTTAGTGTTTATGTCTGTTGAATATTCAAAAGAATAAAGTTTGATTATACTACAAGTAAAAAGAGCGACACCTAAAGACAAGAACTGTTGCAGCGTGGGCCGCGATGCCGCGCTGCTACATGGTGAAAAAAGGCGCTAGCCAGCGGCATGAGGGCCCGCCGCCCTGTAGCCCCACCGAAGCCAGCGTGGCGCCGCCGTGCTACAGTCCCACCGAGCATTCCGCGCTTACAGGTAATATTTTGTGATCTTTTTAACTTGTGATCGGGTTGCCAAAGTTATTTTGTAAAGAATGTACCTCTTTTAATGTTTCATTTTTTACTTCCTTCCCTACTTACACATAGAGTTACATAGAGGAATATCGTTCCTGTTTTGTAATAAAATTAAAATTACCCCGATACAAATCAGCAAACTCTAAAAAGTCCATAAAATTACCATATTCTGCCAATCTACTCGTCGAGATCAATCAAACGAATAAAACACGGTGGGTCTACGTCTAAAGAAGATTAGTTCCTATTTTAAACTTCCTTCTCCATCATCAGACGCTAGTCACCAACTGTAAGCCAGCTACAGGTCTAGACCAATTCAATGATCGCAAACAGGTTATTTCTCATGTAAGTACTTAGGGAGTTAGGTCGTCTGCAGACTGTCCTAGTTGCAGTATCAGATCGAGGCTATTATATTATCGTAGTGTCATTGGATTTACATAGTAGACTTAACAGTTTCAAGTCGTTCGGACAAGTGGAAGTAAAATAAACATTCATTTTATGGCGTAGATTCCTACAGTAACTGGAAAAAAAAACTAATGATCTTTAAACAGCTTAGCAGATGTTCAACGAACGTAGCTAAGAGCCATCCCGATAAAATTAGCACTGAAAGAAAAATCCGCTATGAGATAACTCCATTCGTTTAGGAGCTATGATGCCACAGGCAGACAAACAAACACACAAACAAAGGCTTCAAACGTATAAGTCCCCTCTTACTGTGGCGGCGTTTAAAAAAAATAGCCGGTAATTTTAAAAAAGACGGGAGAAATTTAAACAGTTATTGAACAATAAGTGCTCTTCAGTTAACGATATTCGGCGATAAGTGGAATCGGTTAGGTATTTACATGCAAAATAACTTTGCTTTTTGACTGGTTTTGTATTCATATTGCACAATTTTATAATTGCCTGTGAAATACAAAAGGGTTAATTTATGGAGTAGAGGTTTTCAAGTGAGACAAGGACAGAAGTTGTAACCCTTCTCCAAACATTGTAAGCTCCTGATATGTAATAGATACGTAATTACGTACTAAAATAATTGTCTCTAAGTGGGAGCTAATACAAAAAATTACTTCAAAGTGCATGCTATAAATAATAAAACAAAGCAAATGTTAGCACGTTTACCGGATCACGCCACCAAAGACTTGTCTGACCTGTCGATATATTATTTACGTGAACTACTATCGATATTGAATGGCTTTCGACTAGATTCAGTATTTTCAAAGCGGCACTGCAAAAATACGTCTAGAAGCAACTTCTCAAATTTAATTTTGAAAACAATTGTTGACATAAGTCGAAAAAGCTTTCATAGGTCTCACAGGTGATGCTAGGGCAAAAAACCATTCAAAAATCTGCAACGAGCACATAGAGAAATTTGTAAGGTCTGCGAACTAATTCCGTAGCTTAGTTGGGAAACCGAGAGCCCCGGTTTGGCGAAAAAGTTGCTGGTTCTTGTCCAGTCCGGAATCGAAGATACTTTTATTTATTTATTTAGACACAATTCTCAACACTCAAACAGTTCTCAAATCGTAAACGGTACTTAATACTAACACTCTTGACTTTGGAACATGTGACAATTGTGCACAACATTGATATGAAAGTAATAGAGCTCCAATGGTAGAGTTCGGTAGCAATACAGTTCCTTGTGAAAGAGTTGCCTATTTCTGCCGCCAAGCAGTAATGTTGGCATTACTGCGTTCCGGTTTGGAAGGGTACTAATGAAATTACAGGCACATGGGATTCAACTTATGTCTCAGGGTTACGGGTGCAGTGGCAGTGCTCCTAAGATCTTTATTATTGAAAGCTACTACTGTAAGGATAGGCGTGTCGCTTACTTACTTACGTACTTAAATATTGTAGTTGTAAAAACATCATGATGTTCAATAAAATAAATATTAGAAAAATAATTTCCTGATTAACTCGACAGTTATTATTATCAGATGAATAAAGTTTTATTTATAAAACTATATAATAATAAGTCGAAGTCGAGAGTCGAAGCGTCGCGTCGCGTCCTGTTTTTCAACTATGACGCTTGGGGAAGCGCGACGACGCTCCCATTAGTGCGCCCGGATCACGGTGTGGTCGGCGTCTGACGCCCCACGGCACTCAAGTGACATGCGGCGTCGCGCGTCGACGCCTGATGCCGCTCGACTGCATCCAAGCGTCGACGCGAGTCGTCGCCCGATTCCATATTTGTATAACAGAAATTTGTACCTTAATAGTGGGAAACTAGAGATGAATGTACTATAGGCGAAAAACATGACGCGTCGTCGCTACGCTTTTACTTTGCGCCAGTGTGAGTTGAGCCTAATAGTTATTTATTTGCATACACATAAGCGATTTCTATTTTCGTCCTGATTGCATATTCAGTCTAAGTAATCAATATGGCGGTCTGTACTTGATATGGGAAACTTAAAACCACTTTCCCGAATTGGAATCTTCGTTTACCTTTACTGTAGTTTCGAATACCACTAAGTTTGTAGCAGTAATCGTTTCAATATAACTTTTAACAAATTAAATTTAACAGGCGTAATTTATTTTAGCGAATTCTCAGAACACACAAGTTTCGTTCCAGGGAAGTGTACATTTATTGTATAATAACAGAATTCGCCCGGTAAAAGGCGTTTAACTACACTTGAATCTAAAATACACGAGCTTTGTTTTCTATGTTTGATTTGTATTTATAGACATACTCCTTTTGAAAGAGTTCGTCCAGGGAAGTACTGCCACCTTATCTATTTCTGCCGCCAAGCAGTAATGTCAGAATCACTGCGTTCCGGTTTAGATGGGTAGAGGTGCTGGTGAAATTACAGGAACATGGGACTTGTCAACTTATGTCTCAGGGTGACGGGCGCAGTGGCAGTGCCTTTTATTGGTCTCATTGTCGATATTGGCTGAAATTTAAATAGCAAAATGTGTTTGGCAATATCTTGTTATAATAGTAACCAAAATGCAGCACTATTTTTTATATAGGTGTTAGCTAGTATAGAACTTTCATGTACGCCGGGTACTTAAAGAGTCAAGGCCGCTATCGAGTATATGTATACTTTTGAGATTTTGTTGAGTCGTTTTTTCCGTTGATATTCAATTTATTGCACATACTTCAGGACATGATTAATTCACTGATTGTTTTTCTTTGCCAGATTAAATACTCCTTTACATGAATAATAAATAGTGTACTATTGAAAATGAAACTACCATGTAACAAATAGAGATGCGTATCATAATCAAGTTGGTAAATTGAGTAACTATTTATTGACATGCGGAGTACCTACTCTTGTATCAAGCCCGTGGCAATAGCTTATACGAGTACATACAGAGATCCAATCGACAGCGAAGATTAACTATGTAATTGACAGTTAACAATGCCCAAACCTTTCAAAGTAGATTAGGGGTAACAAATTGGCAATTTGTGAGTATAGCATTACTTGAGATTTATTAAGTGATATCAAGGCTATCTATTTGCTTTCCTTTGATTAGAAAGCGTCATTTAATATTAAATCCCTAATGAAGGCTAGCTCACTCCATTTCAACTTCAACTCCAATAATTGTCAGTGCACGTTTCACACTACAACAATGGAAGTCGGACTTAAAATAAATTATTATTTGTACCACATAACTAATTACAGGGTTACGAGTTCTATAAATTCAATTCGCATGAAATGGATTTATGGTTGCGATGAAAAGTAGGACACAGAATAAATAAAATAACGTTGCGGGTACGCTATATCAGAACATAATAAAAAAGTTTCAATATGACCAATTGATGACTGCCACTATTGAGTTCCGTCAGGCTTGAGATTTTCATCGAGTATATAACCAGAAATAGAGACGAAATAAGGGCCATATATTCCTGGTAACACATTAGGGATACAGCTCTTATAAATATCAACTCCCGTTTGAACTGAAATATAGACAGGCCAACTACTGACCTGTGTGTACCTCTCCGTATATTCCAAAAAATATTCTGGATTTATTGTAATAAAGATAATATCTCTAACAAAGTCGTGCTGTTCTATTCGCTGGTGTGGGATAAACAGCAAAACATCTAATTACAAAACAAACGGAATCACATTTCATCGGTAATTAAATATTAAATATGTAATTTTGCAATTTTCGTCCATTATAGCAAAGCTCAAGTTAACTGGTCGATTTGAAGTGAAACAGTTGACGACACCCGTCAATTGTTTCGAATTCGGGCTTTTTTAGGCAGTTGTCATAGTAATGATATGGCAGAATAGTTTTCAAACCAAATAAATGACATTTCGTCTCTATTTCTGGTTATATACTCAATGGATTTTGGTTATGCAGCATGTTCCAAGTGAATTCAATAACCGGCTGTCATGAGAATGTGCCAATAACTGAAGTGAACACAATAAGGTACGTCAGCGCCGATATTATTATTCGGCATCGAATTTAACTCGTTGCTCTTCTTGGAGTGGCAGTTGTTTAGATTCAGTATCATATTTGGAATTTAGGAACAAAATTAATATCAGACTGGACAACGAACGGGTGTAGTTTGTTATCTTAGGATGCGTCAATGATAAAGTATTTTAAACCGCTGTGACCCGCAATGATCTGCATCTCTATGCCTATTGAGCAATACGCTAAATGAACATGGTTCTACCGAGTTGAGATGAATAGCCTTGAATAAATGAATGAATAAATAAGATATTCTTTATTGCTCATAAAATTACAGTTAAAATACAATAGAATGACTTAAGTATAGTCTTGTATTTATCCATTACATCAGATGAACCTTCAAAATAAATCTAAATAAACTAGCAAAGATAACTACGATGGTCTGGCAGTGTCATGATGACAAAGATCAAAGCAATGAAAGAAATTTATATGAAATGCAACAGAACTTTTAAGACAGTTATTTATTATCACACGTTGCTGTTAAACCGTATTTGCGACATTCTCCAGAGAAAGGAAACGGAAGGTCCGACTGAACATACATTATAATAT